AAAATTGAAAGGAAGAAATGAATTTTTTTTTTTTTTTTGGTCTTATTGAGACAGGGTCTCCCTGTAGCTCACGCTGGCCTGGAACTCACTATGTAGACCAAGCTGGCCTCGAACTCACAGAGACCCACCTGCCTCTGCCTCCCTAGTGCTGGGATTAAAAGCATGTGCCACCACACCCAGCTGAATTTTTATGTTTTTTTTTGTTTGTTTGTTTGTTTTTTTTTTGAGGCAGGATCTGACTGTGTAGCACTGGCTGGCCTAGAGCTCACTATGTAGACCAGATTGGCCTCAGTCTCAGAGATGCACTAGCCACTGCCTCCCAAGTAGTGGGATTAAAGGCATGTACTACCAGCCCTGGCCTTCAACAATCGTATTGTATTGTATTGTGTTGTGTTGTGTTGTGTTGTACAGTATTGTTGTATTATATTGTTGAAGGAGAGTGCCCCTCAGACCCCCTCCCTGTCCTCTAAGAAAGAGCTGCCCTCCCTCTGACTCTGGAAATCCCCTTCATTGTTCAAACCCTTTCCTGGTGCATCTGTTTATGATTTCTATGAAAATGGTCTGGGGCAGGAGAGGAAGAATGGTCTGCCCCTGGTAAGCTAGCCAATGGCTGTAATGGTTAAGGCCCTGGAAATCAGCCCTAGATTGTTCAAATCCTTTCCTGGTTCTTCTGTTTATAGTTTCTATAGACATCCCCTGCTCTGTGGTTTATGTGCTTAAAAGTCCTGCGTTTCCACATCTCTGGGTCGCGGTGCAGCTCCCAAGTCTGCCTGTGTCCCCGGCCTGTCAGTACCAATAAAGCAGCTAAGTTTTCCTGAGTCTCTGTGTCCGAGTGGCCAATTCAGGGAATTCTTTGGACCCCGAACATTGTATTGTATTGTATTGTATTGTATTGTATTGTATTGTATTGTATTATATTGTATTGTATTGTATGTGCATGTGTGTGTCTGGGTATATGCATATGCACCACAGGAGTCCAGAAGCCCTTGGAGATTAGAAGAGGGTGTGGGATCCCTTAGAACTGGAATTACAGGCAGTTGTGAGCTGCCATATGGATGCTGGGAACTGAACATGGGTCCTCTGCAAGAGCAATAGACACTCTTAACATCTGAGCCAGCTCCAGTAAGGGCTAGAGCCCCTACTTTTTAAGTTTTTGAGGCAGGGACTCATGTATCCCAGGCTGGTCTTGAACTTGCTATGTAACCAAGGATGATCCTGAATTTGAGTTCTGGAACTACAGGTGTGTACCACGAAGCCTGTTTTGCAGTTCTGGGATCAAATTCAGGGCTTTGCGCATGCTAGGCAAGCATTCTACCAAGTGAGCTACATCCTCAGACCTCTGGTCAGCTTGTTATTACTATGGGTTCTAAGCTCTATGAAGGCAGCAGGTAGGCCCTTCATTTCTATCTACTCCCCAAACCCAGCACCTGGCACTGTGTAGACTTTTTTAAAAAATATTTATTATTTTTATTTTATGTGTATGAATGTATTACCTGCATGTAGATAAATGCACTGGTGTTGTGCAACACCCGTGGAGGACAGAAGAGGCTGTCGGATCCCCTGGGACTGGAGTTACCATGTGGGTGCTGAGATTCGAATCCAGGTCTTCTGCAAGAACAGTGTTCTTAACCGCTGAGCCATCTCTCCAGCCCCAGTAGACTTTTAAATACATCATAAATGCCAATTAATATGAATGAAATGATCCTGTTTCACTCTAAATCTTTAAGATGAATGAATTTAGTTATTTTTTGGTTTGTTTTGTTGAGACACAGTCTTGCTATGTTGCCCAGGTTGGACTAGAACTCACTACGTGAGTTAAGGCAGCCTGGCTAATTCACATCTTTCTACCTTAACCTCCCATGTGCTGGGATTATAGGCATGTGCCATCCCACCCCACCCCACCTGTTTGATTTGCATTGCAATACTGTCACTAAAGCACAATGCTTTTCATAGTTGAAATAACTATCTGAGGGATGAGATAGCTCAGCAATGATCTGAGTTCAATCCCTAGGGCTGAATCCCAAAAGTTGACCTCTGACCTCCACGCATGAACCTTAGCAAACATTTTGTGCACAAACACACACAGATACAAATACACCAACATATATACATATATATATATATAAATTTTAATTAAAAAGTGTAGAATTTTCATCCGGGTGTGGTGGCACACGCCTGTAATCCCAACACTTGGGAGGCAGAGGCAGGAGGATCTCTGTGAGTTCAAGGCCAGCCTGGACTACATAGTGAGTTCCAGGACAGCTGGGGCTACAGGGAGACCCTGTCTCAAAAAAAAAAAAAGTGTAGAATTTGCATATAACCTAAACACATCCTCCTGATCACTTTAAATCAACTCTAGATTACCTATAATCCTTCATAAGATGTATATGCTATGTAAATAGTTGTTATACTGTATTGTTTAGGAATAATGACAAGAACACAAAAATCTGTACATGTTCAGTACAGGCATAATTTTGTGCCCCAATTTTTTTTCTTAATGCTAATGGTCAAATCCAAGGCCTTGCACATGCTAGGTTAAGGTCTTTACCACTGAGTTACATTCCCATCCCCCTCCCCCTTTGTGTGTATGTGTGCGTGTGCATGTGCGTGTGCGTGTGTGTGTGTGTGTGTGTGTGTTGTTCCTCAGAAGCCCTACCTTGTTTCTTCCTTTTTCTTTTTTTCCCCTCTTGTTTTTTGGAGGGTCTCTCACTGGGACTGGGACTACCTGAGTAGGGTAGCCTGGCTGGTCAGCAAGCCCTAGGGATCCTCCCCAGCACTGCATTTACAAGCATGCACCACCATATGTGGGTGCTAAGAACTGAACTCAGCTCCTCACGTTTGGGGGGCAAACACTTTATCAACTGAGCCATTTCTCCAGACAACTTCCTGTTTTTGATTTGAAGTTAAATGAACCCACAGACAGGGAACTTAACAATATGGAGGCCTGAGACAGGGTCTCCCTGTAGCCCTACCTGGCCTAGAACTCACTATGGAGACCAGGCTCAATCTCACAGTGATCCACCTGCCTCTGAGTGGGATTACGGGTGTGTGCCACATTGCCTGGCTGTACACATATTTCTATGTACATACAAAAGTTTATACTTTTGGGTTCCCAAGATTTCCCTGCAAATCACTGGGTAAATACAAAGGGGATAAAAATAACTTGCTCCATGAAGTTAAAAGGGTACAGAATTGTTTTAACAATTTTGGCCCGTCTCTTTGTTCCTAGAATTGGGTTTTTAACCCAATTGGGTTTTTGGGTTTCTTGGGGATAGGTTCTCATATAACCTTAAACTCTCTCTGTGGCTGACGACCTTGAACTTCTGATCCTCCTCCTGCCACTTTCTGAGTGCTTTATGCTCTAGTAGGGATAGGACAAAGGCCCTCCTACGTGCCAGAGCTAGCACTCTATTATCAGAAGTACATTCTCAGGTCTTAGCTGTATTTTTTTTTTTTGGGGGGGGTTATCTTATACTTTCTTTGTATATTTTGAATTTCCTTGGGTTTTTTGAGACAAAGTTTCCCAGTAGCGACATTGGGCCTCACTCTGAGAGATCCTCCTGCCTCTGCCTCTCCAGTACTGGGATTAAAAGCAAGCACTATCACGCCTGGCTTTCATGCAACTATTTATTTTAAAATATTTTATTTATAGCCAGGCGTGGTGGCACACAGCTTTAATCCCAGCATTCTGGAGGCAGGGGCAGATGGATCTCTGTGAGTTCAAGGCCAGCCTCAAACTGGTTGGTCTACATAGCTTCCAAGCCAGCTGGAACTACAGGGAGACCCTATCTCAAAAATACCAAATAAATAAATAAATATATATATGTCTTATTTATTATATTTATTTTATGTGTATGAATGTATTACCTATGGGGGGTCAGTAAGAGAGCATCGGATTCCTCTGGAACTGGAGTTACCAGAAGGCTGTCCGGCAGTGCTCTTAACCGCTGAGCCAGCCCCCTCGTTGGGCATGCGACAACCTCTGTTTTCTAAAGTCTCAAATTCTTGCTGTTATGTTAAAATGAGATAAAGGCTATAAAGGGACTGGCACATAACAGGTAGTTTGTTAATGTCTGGCTTAGTCTTGCTCGGTTATGTTCCCTGTGGACATTTTCTCACAATAGTTTCAGGGTTTGCCAAGCCTGGTAGCACATGCCTATAATCCCAGGAAGACAGCTGAGTTCCAGGCCTGCCTTGTTTCCATAGCGAGTTTTTGTCTCAGGAAAAAAAACAAAAAACAAAAAAAACCTAGGAAGTTTCAGGATATTCCTGTAGTCTTCTATCCCGTTGTCTTTACTATATGTTCTCTAACACTCTTAGGCCTTCCACAAAAGTGAGTGACAACCGGCAAAGGGCGGAAGTGGCAGGCACTCCAAATACGTCCTAGAAAACGCTGTGGGCCCTAGGTTACTGCAGAGGTACCTCTGGAAACCACCGTGGTGCTCTCTCACATCTTGCCTGGCTGACCTGATTCAAGCGGTTCGTTTAAACTAAAATCGTGGCGAATACCAAAATCGTACAGACATCACATCTCCATAGTTTAGACAGACGCTTAGTATCAGAGCAGCAAGGCAGGCCCCAAAGAGTCCGCCTCCTCCCACGCGACCCTATCAACGCCTCTCTACTATGAGCGACAGCTCGGTTTCAGCCAATCATCTCCGCCTTCTAGAAGAAACCCGCCCAGCACTTGTGTCGTCACTCGGCCGCTTCAAAAGAGGGCACCAACCCCTGCGCTGCCGCGTAGTTAGTCGGGTGGCGGGTACTCGAGACTAGACGTAACCGAGGCCCGACCTTAAAGGGGAGGGAGCAGAGAGGGGGCACCTGAGCCCTTTAAAAGGAGGCGGGCTGGGGCCTGCCCCTTTAAGGGCGGGGCGACGGACGCCTGAATTTGAGCCCTCGATAACCCCGAGTTTCCGTCACAGGCAGCGAGGGGAGGCTCCTCGGCTGGGTCCGGGTGCTCGGCGGGCGGCGGTGGCGTCCTCTCCGCTCGTCCTCCCGGGCCCGGAGACACCCTCACCCCAGTCATGCTGAGCAGAGTATGGAAGCAGCTGACTACGAAGTGCTATCTGTGCGAGAGCAGCTCTTCCACAACAGGGTCCGCGAGTGCATCGTGAGTGCGGGGACCTGGGCGGGAAGGGGCAGGGCTGAAGTGGGAGGGGCGCGGCATCGGCGGAGCCGGGAAGTTCGGCCCACTGGACTGCGCGCCTGCGTCCCCAGAAGGACCTGGGGCGGGCGGGACGCCGGGGCCCGGGCCGGCGGACCCACCCGCAGGTCCCTGAACCGTAAACAAAACCGGTTGGTTTCCGTTCCTCTCCTGCTCGCCCCTCCCCCAGCTCCTCCTACTCGGCCCCTGCGGGCGTTCCTGGCGTGGGGGCTGGGGGTGTCTTCTTGGCATGGACGGTCTGGTGGTTTTTTTCCTCACCTGACAGGCCTAGAAGGGTGGGTTTGCGTTGGGATGGGTTGATTTGCAAGTTCCTTCAAGTGGCGGCGCGGGGGCGACCCTAACTGATAGTGGATGAAAACGGAGACCTGGACACCCAGAGCAGTTCTGGGAGTTTGTAGTCGTGGCTGGAGGGAGGGAGCAGGGGATTTGGTGAGTCCTAGCCTCCCACTTCCAAAGCACTCCTGCTGGAGTGGATTGAAGCTAGGAACGTGGGGAAGCTCCAAAGCTTCCCCGCCTATTTTCTTTTCTTCTCATTAGTCGTTTGTTTTTGTTTGTGCTTGGCACGTGGCACACCAAACACAAGCACTACCAAAGAGCTGTGCCTCCAGCCCCCTTCCTGATAACTTGTTTGAAACCCTGCGAGCCTGGATTCCTAGTTTTCCAAGTCATTTAGGAAGTCCCCCATTGCCCCTGAGCACACCCAGCCGTGGTCCACCTGGCAGTGGTCCTACTTCCCTCGGTAAACCTTCCATAGCAATGTGCTACTCACTTCTAGGATAGGAGCACCCCGTGGGGTTTAGGGAATCGTCTTCCTTGAGCCTCCTTTGAATTATCATCTCTGGCTGCTGTTTCCTCCCAGAGCTCCCCAAATACTAAAGGAAGGAAAAGGAATGGTTTGGAGGACTAGGAAGAGCTGTTACTAAATTTGGAGGGCTGGGCTGTAGGCCACTCTGGACGTTCTTAGATTGCAAAAAGAGTAAAGTGAAGCAGAACATGACTAGGTCTGCCTTTACCCAAAAGGACTGGAAAGTAAGACGTGTAGGACTCTTGTAATTCCTTAGTGGAGAGGCCTGTGTTGTGGCATTGGACATACTGTGGAGGTACACCTAGGTCTTGAGATAGTGTAGGACCAGAGGCCTGCATCTCCAGACAGCAAGGAGGGATGAGCCCTTCAACAGAAACAGCTAGAGAATAGCCAAGCCTAATCTGGAACTCCACCCTGACCTTTTGAGCCCTTTTACCTTGGTTATTACACAAGCCCAGCACTCAGCTGTAAAAATGCAGCTATAATGGGAGTAGTTCTTTCTAATCTGATTCCCTGATATTAAAAGCTATACCTTTGTCTGGTGTGGTAGTATATGCCTTTACTCCTAGCACTCAGGGGGCAGAGACAGCTGAGAACGCTCTGAGTTCGAGGACAGCCTGGTGTACATAGTGAGTTCCAGACTACCTGGAGCTACAGGGAAACCATGTCTCAAAAAGACCCCCCCCCCAAAAAAAAATTTATTCTAGGCCCAGGGCTTTCTTGGGCCTCCTCTCTCCTTGTTACTGTATACAGATTCCCTATGGGGTCAACTCCCCCTTGAAGGTCCATGAAACTCACCTTGTCTATGTCTACCTCAAATCAATGACATATTTTCTTGGTGGTCTCTGACTTTGGGGTACTGTATAGATGTAATAAATGTACTAATTTATCTAAGTTCTGTCCGTAACTGTCAATTCGACATCCAGCTACTCAGGGGCCTAGATAGGTCTTTAGAAGCCTGGCCATGAAGTTGAAAGTCACTTATGGTAGGGTCTCAGGATTTAAAGTTGCAGATACCAGCCGGGCGTGGTGGTGCACGCCTTTAATCCCAGTACTGGGAGGCAGAGGCAGGCGGATTTCTGTGAGTTCAAGGCCAGCCGTGTCTACATAGTGAGTTCCAGGACAGCTGGGGCTACAGGGAGACCCTGTCTCAAAAAGACCAAAAAAAAAAAAAAAGTTGCAGATACCAGCTCTGGAAATCTTATAGGTGTTGGGCCTGACTTAAAGCCTAGTCTTAGATTAGATGAGAGTTAAATGAGGTTCTGATTTGGTTGTAAACATGACTTTTACATATTTTCTCCTGGAGTTTGGCTCATAATAACAACTAGAGTTGGGCAAAATGAGTACCAGGATAGTGCAGAGATCTTTTCCTCAAACCTGTTACTTTTCCAGAATGTTCTCAAAGTATAGTCACTCCCTCTTGTTAATGTATATGTGTTGCCAGGAGTTTCTCTGATGTTTACCAACCCTGACTGGGTAGAAGCTTGTTGCTCTAGCACAATTCTCAGGACTTTGTTGATATTGTTCCCCAGGTACAGGGGGTAACCCAAGTCTGGTCCTTAGAACCCCATGAGGCCTTGACGAGAAGGAAGTACCCTTAGGAAGATAGAACCCCAGGAAGTATGGAACTGTGTTTCAAGGCCCTGGGGGCTGTGCAGTGTGCTAAAGACTATAGAGCTGCTCATCTCAGTTGTTTTCTGCCTCAGATCTCAGCGCTTCTATTTGCCACACTCTACATCCTCTGCCATATCTTCCTGACCCGCTTCAAGAAGCCTGCTGAGTTCACTACAGGTACTTTGACTTCCCTCCCTTCTACCAGAGTTCCTGTTGCCATGGAGCCAACCCAGAGGAGTTGGGTGGTGATGCCTGTGGGGAAAGGCGGGGCAGCTCTGCTGGGCTGGTCTGAAACCTTTGCTTCTTCAGCCTGCCTTCTACCCATGCAGAGCCAAGATGAACGGTAGGCAGGAGGTGGAGGTGGAGGTGGAAATGTCTGCAAGTTTGTGGGCAGGTCATATAGCTTGTCTTTCTCTTTTTCTTTTCTTTCTTTTTTTTAGAGTACAAGGTAATGAGTTTCATTGTGGGTTTTATGTTTTTGTTTTTTTTTGATTTTTGGTTTTTTTGGGGGGGACATGTCTCATGTAACCCAGGCTGACCTCAAACTCTCTATGTAGTTAAGGATGACCTTGAACTCCTGGCCCTCCTGTCTCCACCTCCCAAATATGGGTTTGCAGTTGTGCACCACCACACCCAGATCATGTAGCTTTTCTCATCTTCAGTTTCTTCCTACAAAATGGGCATAATAAAGTCCACATTGTCACTGTGTGGCCAAATAAGGACCCTTTGTGAATCTGAAATGGGCCACTGTAGGGTGAATGTCGTGGGCACATGTTTTTGTAGTCTCCTTTCCTAGTGGTCTCCCACCCATAACCAGACTCCTTTCACCTTCCTGAACATTAAGGCCCCAGTCTCTGGTAATGGTAGTCTTTCTCCTTGTAGAGAGCCTAATTGCTCTCAGATTATGGCTTTACTTCTTATATATCTCTGATTGGGACAGAAAAACTTGCATGTTTCAGACCCTAGATCCAACCTGCTCAGACCATCATGTCCTACAAGCTTCATAATCACCCAACAAGGCAGCTATATTAGTACTCTCCCTCAGGGACTTTCCTCTATGAATCTCCTTCCTCCCCCTTCATTTTCTTCCCTTCATCCAACCACTGACGTAACCAACCTTACAGACTATTATTTGTCATATCTGAGAGAGATGGGGAGGAAGGAGGAGGAGTAGGGGAATTATGGGTATATATTTTCTTTACCTAGGACTACTGATCTCTCTTTTTTTTTT